AGTTTCAGGGCAGGTTGTGCCAACAGCTCTCAGGGGAGAGTCAAGAGGGAGCTCAGAACACCAGGTGGTCATGGTTCAGGCAGTTGCAGGAAAGGTGTATTGGATTTGAGTGAACAGACTCAGAAACACTGGAGGCCCTAGATGTAAGTAGAAGAGTGAGAGGGGTGGAGGAGGAGGCTGACTGGTGACATGGGTCCTCCAGCCTGGGCTTCTCTTGTACTTGCTGACAGCTGCTACCACGTGCCTACTGGATGCCCACCAACATGCTGGTCACAGAAACACAGACCTCACTGATCTCCCCACCCTTCAGCCTTTGGAGACCTGGCTGGAGAGAGGTTCTAGGAGTCTGAGATCTTGTCTTGGTCTGGCACAAGACCGGCAGGAGCTGAGCTTTGGTTCCATCAGGCGAAGTCATGACTGTCCCAGGGCAAGTCAGGAAACAGAGCGTCCTAGAGCCGACACTAGAGAAGGGCTGTGATGCTGCCCAGGGCTCTTATTGGTGGGAGGAGAGTCAGTGTCTTCTAAACCTGCTGACCCTGATATTGGTCTGGGAGTGCCCAGCCCTCAGACCATCTCCTAGCAGTTGTCTAATCTGGGACTGTGCCCAGTTTCCTTCCTCTCCCAGAGTGGACTGGTGTGACCCTGGAGGGGTGGGAAGTGGATGCGTCCCTGGGCGAGTCTGTGAGGTAGTGTTTCCCAGGTGGACTGTGCAGGTCTCCCAGGGCCAGTGTGGTGACACCCCTGCCATCCCACCATGCCTGTTGGCTATAGGTCCCCAGCCTCTAATAGGTCTAATAGATGGATATGTAAGGAGACGTTATGGATATGTAAGGAGACGTTATCTTTTAGCAACTCACTTGACAAACTCCTCTCCAGGACTGAGACAGTCTTGGCAGGGAGAAGCAGAAGGGTGTGAGCCGAGGCTCAGGCAAGCTGGCAGAGTGAGGGTTAAGGTTGGGTTGCTTGGCTCTGAGCTGATCCGAGCCAGTGCGCCGCCTTGTGCAGATGGGCGGGGGTGGTGGGGGCCTTGAGGGGCCAGCAGCTCCTCACAGCGCTACTCTGCATCCCGGGCCCTGCCAGACCTGTGCCCACAGCCTCCAGGGAGCCTCTGCCACCACTACCACTCGGATTCTCAGAACAGGCAGCGGTTGCCATCGGCTGTCCCCAGGAGAGCAGGATTGGGGCCTAGCCGCCACCACTTTTGTGCTTTGATCAAGATGTGGTAACCTCTCCCTGAGCCTCACAGGCCCTAGCTGGCTCTATCGGGACCAGCTTGGGTGCCTCCCCAGTGCCAGAAGCCCACTGGGTAAGGTAGGGTGTGATTATATCTAAAGTTGTCTCTTGGCTGCAAAGAGATGGAGTAACTGCTTCAACTAACTGGTCTGCTGAGTGTTTCCCTTCCTACGTGCCTGGCACTGCATCCACAATCCCTGAGCTTGTCTGAGATGTGGCCCTGAGGGGTGAAGTGGCTCGCCCAAGGTCATACAGCTATCAAGAGTCCGGATTCAACTCCAGGTCAGAACATCACCAGGACTCTTTCCAGACATTTCGCTGGCTTATTTTCCTGGACCCTGAGAGATTGGAATTTTCTTTCTTAAGCCCTTTATTGCATGTTTAGAGGTTCTTTGGTGGCTTGGTAACTTGACTTGTGCTTCTGTGCCATCTCTGAAGGCCTCAGAGGTTAGCAGAGGCCTGAAACGGCTGCCCACAGCCTGACAGAAGGAAGCTGGCATGATTCTAAGGAGCTGAGGCTCGTGGAGGGCACTGGTGCCAGCATGATGAGTCTGAACTTTTGTTCTAAGGCAGAAGGGAGCCAGGCAAGATTTTTAGCAGGGCTGTGGCATGGTCATATCTGTTGATCAAAACAATAGCTTTGACATGATTGTAAGCACAGATTAGCTCAAGATCTGTGGGGAGGCTGGAGTGGAAGTCTGGGCTACACTTGGTGGCACCTGGACCAGACCAGGGTGTATGGAGGTGGAGAGGAGGGTGTTTAAGAAGTGTATGAGTCCACCCTGGAGAGCCATCCAGCTCGATTGTGTTGGTCTGGAGTGTAGGAGGCTGGACTAGCAGAGGGTTCTTGGAGCTCAGCTCTGGGTTCCAGGACCATTTCTACAGAATGTGTACTCTTAAGGTTTTGCTTGGCCACCTGGAGCCAACGTGCTTCCCACTAGGGCGCACTTCCTCTCCTCTTGGATTTGGAGATCGGTGGGTCTTACCATCCACCCTCCATGTGTTCTGTATATGTGAGGTGGGGGAAGTCCCATTCCCCTAGCCTGTGCCACTACCTGGTATTCTAAATGGGTGTCTGTGCCAGTGGCAAAGAGGCCACTGGATATACCAGGAGAGAAGGCTGTTTCATGCTGAAGGCTGGATCCTTCTGCCAGGTATTTACAAACACAGCTGCTCACCTGGCAACACCAGCACTGCTGATTCCTTTGGGTACCCCTCCACCCCACACTGCTGCACGCAGGAAAGCCTCCTGAGGCGTGGAGGGAGACAGCCCCCCAGATCACTGAGCTTTCACACTAGATCGAAAGAGTTGAAGCGAGAGGAGTCCAGGGCCCTGAGAAGTCAAGAGGTGAGACCAGCCTCTCAGGCCCAGGCTCTGCCCTGCATCATGACAAGTGTTTATTGGTGCAGGCTGGCTCTGAGGCCAGTGTCCTCAGAGGACTCCAACTTGAAACCCCGCCCTGCAGTGGCTCTTGGGTCTGAGGGGAATCGCAGAGTAAAAGTGCACAGGGTCCTGACTCTGAGAGGGTCAGTGAGCCTGGAAATCATGGGACCCTCTGGTCGCTGCCCCGTCAGGAAGGTATGGGGGCAGCCAACCTCAGGCACACAGGAGCTGTGCAGCTGCCTGGGAAGCCTTCTTAGCTGTGGGCACTTAAAGAGCCTGAGGAATCTGGATGTTCCCTGTTCTATGTACTCTAGCTTCTGTATATTAGATTCCCTTTGTATCCCTTTCCTCTTTATCTTTCAAGTCTCAGCATCTCTCGGCATCTTCTGACTGAAACTTGCCCTGGGTGCTTATACCTGATCACAGCCTTGAGCCACTGCACTGATACTGCCTGCTCCCTCACTTTCTGCCATGTGAGCCTGAGTGGGCCCACCTTTGTCCGATTCCAAATGCCCAGCATAGGCCTGAGTCAAAGCAGGGAGTATGTGATGCTGTAGTAAATGGGCGGTTAGAAGAGTCAGTCATGTGTGTTGTGTGCTCTTTGAAAACGTCAGTGTTAGACCACATACTGCAATGCCCATTTCTGTTGCAGCTTAGGTGGCGGTGTTTGCTGTTGAGTCAGAACCAGTTCATAGCTGATTCTCCAGGTTTTCAGAGACAGGGAATTGCATGAGAGGAGATTGCCGATCCTACTCCCACGGTGCAGCTGGTGGATTCAAACTGTGTGCCTTTGGGGTTGCAGTGCAGCTTCTTACTACTAGGCCACCAGAGCCCACTCTCCAAGGTGATAGTAATGAAGTATCCTTTACAAGTGCTGTTCAAAACTTTATAGCAGAGTCCTTAGGTTTGGGGCAAGACTTTCTTGGGCCTCAGCTACTCAGCCCACTGAATTAGTTGGGCCTGTTAAAGGAAAGGGTGGTCAACTCAGGGCCCCAAGAACTGGTGGGTGTGTCCAGTGGATTTTTCCACTGCCTAATGAGCCATTTATCTGGCAGATGTGACTGTGACTCTGTGACTCTTTCTTCCCATCTGCAGCGTAGGGAAGTATCCTGAGGAGGCAGACTGACTGGCTGCCTTCCCAGAGTTCACTCCAAGGTTTTCTTTGGTAGATTGACTATCGTCCTAGCCAGGTCTCTGGTTTGCTGACGGAGAATCTTAATTTGATATGTCATTGGTGTACTCTTCCTGCGGGAGAGCCTCAGGACTGACCAAGCTCAAGGCAGCTTCTGGAAAACGATTTCCGGCTCAGTGAGTTCAGTGAAAATGAGTGCTCGCTTTCACTGCTCCACAGGCAGCACCCTGTGGATGACAGGTGTGGGCTCCCAGGTCTCAGACAGCCTGCAGTGTCATCTGCAGAACAAGAACCCTTCTGTAGGACCACAGTTTATGGGCCCTGGCGCCTCTGTCCATTGTTTGACTGGCTTGATTCAGGCCTCTTGCATGTTCCCTGGCCTGAGCAGCCACCTTGGTCTGACAAGCACCTGCCTCAGCTGTTAGCCTTGTGTGCTAGGGTTCTGTGTGAGAAGGGTTCCTTGCGGATTGGCGTCACTGCCATTTATATGAGGTGGAATACAGAGGTGGGATCCTGCTCAACTTCATCTCAAATACTTTGGGCATTTTGTGTGTGGGGAGGCAGTTACTCAAGAAAGACATCATGCTGGGAAAGGTCAGAGAGACAAGAATTCCCTCCACAAGATGGATTTACAGTGACTGTAACAATGGACGACAGCACAGCAGAGATAGTGAAGATGGCACGGGACGGGCAAGCGCTGATCTGTTCTTCATAGGGTTGCTATAATGTGGTCCACACAATGGCACTAACAACGTAAGTGAAGAAAAGAACTTTACTTTCTCTCTCTCCCCCACAATGACTGCACATCACTGATCTCATCTCCTGTTTTCCTGTGTGGTGATGTTTTTCTCAATGCCAGTTTTGCTCAAATGCCATTTATTGAACTCTTAGCAGATGTCTCCTCTGTGAGAGGTCAAGCAGTTGCCACTTGGCTCCTGTCCTGTGGCTGCAGAATGGCCACTGTTGTGTCTCTACTTGTCTCTCATAAGGGAAGCCATAGACATGCTTTCAAAAGCTGGTGAGGGTGTCTGTAGGTGGTCTGTTGTGACCGGGAACCCACTCATGGAGTAGTACCAAGAGACTACACTTTCGCCAGCTCAGGGCAGCCCTATGGTATATTTGGCCTGGGCCAGGGCCCACGGTCAGTGTGTCACTCGTGATCCAGGACAGGTGAACGGAAAGGCGCAGAAGCTCCTCCCTTAGTCTACTTGCCAAAGTTTCCTCCCTCACAGAGCCTCCTATTTCCTGCAGAGTTTGTCCTCTCACTTCTGGAGAAGATGCAGACACAGGAGATCCTAAAGATGCTGCGGCTGCCCGAGCTGGGTGACTTGGGCCTGTTTTTGCGCAGCCTTTCAGCCACCACCCTCGTGAGTATGGGTGCCGTAGCTGCGATCCTCACCTACTGGTTCACTCACCGGCCAAAGGCTTTGCCACCACCCTGTGACCTCCTTAGGCAGTCGGAAGAAGTGGAGGTGAGTGTAACGGTAGCAGCCAGGCTATGGAAAGCCACTAGGAAGCCAGACTCCTACCACTGGCCTCCTTGGTTTCAGATGGCCCAGAGAATCTCATGTTCCCCCAGAGCCAACAGGCAAGCCCTGTCGTGTCCTTGCATAGGGTCTCCTTCCACGTGCTCCTCTGCCTTGCTCAAAGACAGGGCTTGGCCTGCCCTGCACTGGGTCCCTGCTTCTTGTCCTGGGGGTCTTATGCCTTTGGCACTTCTGTAGGAGTCCCAAGCAGGTTGTAAAGGATCTCTCAGGTGGATTTCCTCACAGACACTCCCTGTAACCATCCTTGGCCTGGTGCCAGGGTCCCAAACTGAGCCCATCCCAGGGCTCTGCCCTCCAAGCACACATAGCCCCATTGGTGTAGAGGGGAAGAAGGTGCAATGGCCAAGCCTGGATGAGTGTGTCCCGTACTAGGATTGGATGTTTATTAAACTCATTTATTAAATTCACCACCCTCCCCCCCCAACCTTTCTATTCATTTTGAATACATAATATAGTAACGCAATACCAAGAAACCAAAGGACAGGCTGAAAATCTTCCACATTCTTCCCTCTACCCTCTACTTCCTAGTTCTCTTCCCCTGGGGCACCTTGTGTTAATGGTTCTGTGCTATCCACAAGCACCTACATACACCGTTCTGAATCTCAGTTACAAAGTGGCTGATAAAAAAGAAGGCCTGCTTCCCATGTTTGTAGTGAGGATTTGGTGAGAAAATGCAGAAAAATAGGGCTTTTTGGTAGGCTTACCCATTTAATTAACTCACCTGGACAAGTTATGATGAACTGGGCAGAGAATCCCAGGGTGAGCCAAATGTATTACGTTTTCAGTAAGACATGACTGATTTGAGATTAAAAAGAATGGCCATGGTCAGGAGTAAAAGTGGGGCTGGAGATGATAATGATCTGGATAGGGTGAAGTTGGCAAGAAAGAGTGACCCTGGATTAGTGTAGAGGATGTCATGCAGAGTGTGTCACCTCTAGTGAGAATGGCTGAAAGAATAGGGTACTGGACACAGCTATGGTCTCACCTGCTGGGAAGACCCAGCTCTCCCATGCCTTGTCCCTAGGGGAAAGGAAGCCAGAGTAGCTGGAGAGAAGCAGAGGGGAGAGTGGTAGGAAGTAATGTGAGAGGGTCCTCGATCATTCAGAGCCTAAATTCACATCCTCACTTAAACCCTTCCCCTGATTCCCCATTGCCTTCAACCTGCGGCAGCCCAGACCCCTTGCCTTGCCCTGCTGTACCCTGGCCACCTTTCCCACTATTGCCCATAGAGCTCCATGAACTGCCTGCATTTTCTTCCCACATGTTTGTACTTTCTTGCTACCTTGACCTAGATTGTCATTCCCTGTTCCACAATCAGCCTAGGAAACCCTGTGCCACCAGTCCACATCCAGTGCTGTGGCGACTTCCTGACACATGCTTGTTCTTGGCACCTAGACCCTTGTGGTGTCATTTCTATCATCTAGTGCTGACCAGGTCTGATTGTGTAAGTCCCCAACTCCCTGCCTGGGCCTGACAGAGGCTAGTGCTCAGGGAACACTGTCTAAACATAACTTTCCTACAAATCACTTGAGCTGCCTGTGGGTGTCCTTTTGCTTTGTGGTTCTCATAAGCATTTTCCCTTAGACAGCGTTCCAAGAGGTGGCAGGCCCTGGGCCAGCTGAATGCAGCCCAGACTAACAGTGCTCAGGAAAGAGCATTAGTACTGAAATCTCTGAATGTGGGGAGCCGACCAGGAGCACAAAGGTGGAAAGGGGAGGAGTCTCCTGGGCCCCCAGCACAGAAAGTATTTGCCTTCGCATTCTGAATCCTTACATGTGAGGGCCCAGGAACTTACTGCCACCCTCTCCTCCCATGGAATAAAGACATAATTCAGCCTGACCTCCCTCCACAGCCTCTGCTTCTGGGAAAGCCTCTGCTTCAGTCCTCACAGCAGTTGACCCCATTATGTGAAAAATAAACGTACACACTTTTAGCTACAGACTCCAAAAATGCATCTTTTTTTTTTAAATTCCATTCATTCATTGTTGCACCCTTCTCCCCACACAAACCCCTCCCCCCCTCCCCGTTTGCTCCTCTCCTTGAAAAGCAAAAGAAAAACTCCCTCATTGGTACACAATCCCCCCTGCACCTCCCCAAACCCCACCCCCT